TAATAAGTTATAATGCAGTTGTAGTATTTGAGTAGGGATTTCTGAGTAGTAAAAAAAACTTTCCTTAGTGGTCAGAACCCCATCCCTCCTCCCAATAAACAGCTTTCTCTCCTCAGACCTGAACAGTTATGAATAGAGATTAGATTGGGTACTTCCAAGTGCTACTGCTGTGCATTTGAGGCTTCATAGTATTGGATAAAACACGAAAAATTGGGGTGGAATCGATCTACATTATGTGGTTTTCTGGCACTGGCGTACTTTAGATGGGTAGTGAACACAATACACACTCATCCTTTGGTCAGGGAGCTAATTTTAGTCTGGCTTCCGCCATTTTTAAACCAGTCTGTGTGTGCTGAACTTGTGTTCTGTTATAGGTATAGACTGATTTTGTGTGCCGAACGTCTGTTCTCTTACAGCTGTAGACCAGTTTCCGGCCTGTAGCCATAAGAGGGAGGGTTATTTGAGGGTTATTTGATATTACATGCACCATGCAGATTGTGTCAGATTAGGTGAAAAATGTACGCACTCGTATGTTGTTGGTCCATTTAAAAGTGCAGGTCTGCAGACTTGTTTAGTGAAGATCTTACTTTACAAAGAGATCTTTGAAAGGTAAACTGACTTAATAGTTAGTGTTTGTGCAGAGAATGTGAGCTATTTATCTTGGAGTAATTCAGATCTCCCTTGGAATGTTTTATTGTGTCTGACTGAATGGCTGCTCCATTCTGCCTTCCTGGACATGAAATATAAAAGGATAGGTGAATAATTTTAACTGATGTTTTCACTGACTGCTTATATACGAGATACATCCTCAGTGCATTGCGTTTCAAGTTAATGCTAAAGTTCAATTAGAATAAGCCTTTGTTTTAGCAGCAGCTTCATTATACAACTTAGCAAAACAATTTAATTTTGAATGTGGTTTGTATTTAAACCATGTTGTTTTAGAGAGCGTATTTGGAGAATCCTGTAAGACCTTACTTGGTTTCAGTGACGTCAATGGAACTACTCCTTTTAAATTAAATTTGCCTGGTCAGATGTGTGTGCATGCACATCATATTGATGAGATGCTATTTAATATAGTCCTATTTGGTTTGGACTAAGTTTGGAGGCCATCTGATGTAGGCAGCTATTTGAAGTTGGGAATTGACATATGGTATAGCCTAAAGTTAGGAATCTGTTGTTTTTAACAGTTTACCATTTCCCAATAAGAACAAAAACTCCTCTCAGACACCCTCTACTCACTTGTGAGTAGGATGCCTATAATATACCTAAAAAGTGACCCAAACCACAGTGTGTGGATCTGGAATCCCAGTGTATTCAAGTCCATTTCTGTTTATAACTCAGACATATAAAATGGTCCTGATTCCTTTTTAGCCTACCCTTAGTGTAAAGCAGAGTTAACTGCGTTTAAGTCACTGGACCTGTCTAAAACTGATATGAGAGGAAAATCGGGCGCAATACCTCTCTTCAGTTCAAGGAGAAAAATATGCACAGAGGAGCATCAAAATGAGCTTTTTAGGTCTCTGAAATGTTCTTTTTACAACCAGTTAGCTTTACCTCTGAGATTTTTGCTCATATACATAACTGAAAAGCAACTGATTTTATGGTACGTATGTATAAACAAGTAATACTATCTCTGAAAACATGAAGGGATCAATAGAGATTCTATTCTTATTCTGAGCATAGTAAAATGTGCAGTTAAGTAGACTTCAAAGAAGTGATGTGCTACCAAAATAAAAAATGCTTTTCTGATCATATGCTGGATGATTAATAATTAATCTAAGGGTTTCAAGAAATACTTAGATTTGAATAGATTATCTATCATTTTTGACATCTCATGTTGCCATGTTATGCTCAATTTATCTAATTACAATAAAAGCAATTGGAAGGGACTAGTTCCTGAGAGACCCAATACCTGCAGCTCTCCTTGACTTTACCACACCAGGATTTTCCCTAACATATGCTTTTCATCTCTTTTTCTAAAATACTGTATTTGAAAAGTAGATGCAATATAGTGTAAAGAACCTCTATGTTATAAAATAGGTGTCTTGCTTCTATGTTTTTGTTGTGCCTCTCGTGGGATTTCGGCCAGTTACCTAAATTGTGGCTATCAAAGGACATGAAATAAATAACATGTTCTTAAATAATTTAAGCAAGTTTTGTCTAGGGAGTCTTTATGTTTTAAAATTTTTTAGATTCATTGTAATTTGCCTCAGGTAGGCACAATTTGTGTGATTACCCAAGCTAACTGGTCCCTATCCAAGCTGACACTGATTGGATAAGGAAATGCCTTGAGATTTCACAGCTCAGTTGCTTTGCGGGGCTATGCTTGCATTTTAGCATGGATTTTGGCAAGCTAATAGTTTTCATTGGCTGTCATGACTATATTGGTCACAGCAGTGCATTATAAGAGCTACTGTTTTATGATATTATTGTGTAACTTTTGCTTTCATCTTCTTGCAGGACAGGATAAACACAACAAATGCGTTAGTCTCATCATATAACTCATGCAATCTGTTGTTGGGTTTGGATTTCTAAGTAATATGACAGTCTCTTGTGGTGACCAATAGAATTCTGTCCATGGTGGTGCATGTTAAGAGGAATACATATGCTTTGTGATTAGTCACTTGTGCAGAGACTCTTGGTTCTGTCGACAATAATTTCTTAACACAGGTTAATTTTAATGAGAGTTAGCATCCCCCTTTTCTACAGATTTGTTACTTCCATTAGATTTACTTCAATATAAATAGTGACCGTCAGTGAAATAGTTAACTTGCAAAACTCAGATCATCCTGTGAGCTAGTTGCTTGTTAGCTTAATGAGCAGACCTGTGCATTGAATGTTAAGTGTTGAACAGTTAAAATACTATTCCTCCTAATGAGTAACTAATACTTTGGTTGTGGTGCTGTTGCCTACCTTATTTTTCTGTGTTTTAAAGGAAAAGAGGGTCTCTTTTTATTAAAATATTTTGTCCATCCTGTTAAATTAAAAAGCATTGATAACTGCCCTTTACAGCAGATATTTTTCATCAAGGGCATTGTGATGTCCTTACCAAAATAAAGGCTTTTCATTTAATGTAAGCTTTCAACAAAGAATACATTAGATGTGGACAGTATGCTTTAAACATAGTAGCACATTAAAATCACAACTAGTAATTGTATCTAAAAGCTGTTCACTGAATATTTTATTTGAAATGTTCATCATATACTTTTAATAGAATCATCATGAGTACAGATGTCATCTGTATAGGGAGCAAGCCTCTAGATGCTAAATTAGTAATACCTAGCAAAGCATTCAGAAGACGTTCTGGCTATTTGCTCAGTGTCTAAAAGAGAATAAGATCCATTTTAAATTTCAAATTCAAATCGTCTATCTAGCCAGAGAGAGAGGTTGTAGTGAAGTAAAATATTAGCACGTTGGTGGAATACCAGGAAGTCTAACATGAAAAAATAAGAATAGGGCTGTTTGATCTCCATGCTGGGAATTTTTAATATTTTTGTGATTTGGAAATGTTTGGATGTGTGCAGTAGACATTAGAATGGCCACATCATGTGATTTAGTTGATAGTTGTTCTTCCAGAATCTCACTGTTCACCTTGATATGTACAGCATCCCTGACCCTGACTGTAAATATGAACAGTAACCACAACGAAACACTTAAGTGGGAATAAATCTCCAGTGTATACAGACATGACCTGTTACTGTTGTTGTTTGCCAGTGTTCAGTAGTAAAATAATACAATCTTGGAGAATTACCAAAATGGGTCCTTCCAAACTTCCTGATCACAGAACCTAATGAGTTAAATTTCTCTCGGTGATGCTCACACAGAATTTAAGCTGTTTAGACATACAAGGTCGAATTAATCTGCTTCATTGCCTATTCTGACTCCTGTGGCAGAGAAAGGGGCTGCAGTTCCTCTGGGACAGACCCCTTGGGAGGTATTGACACAAGCACAGAGAATTTGTTCTTCGCTTTCCAGATTGTAATGCTGCCCTTAATTTTTTTTTTTTTTCCCCAGGATCCCTTCCCCCTCCCCACCCCAAATCCGAGCCAACTGCAACCCTACTTTCCCCTTGATTGCTGGAGCTCTTTTTCTTCTTTTTTTTTTTGTGGCATTGTATTAAGTAGAGATGCTGAGGTCACAGGAGAGGATTTTTATTTGAGTGATAGAGACGCAAGACAGAAACGCTCAGCATGAAGCAGCAAGATGCAAGGTCCTGGTCTCTCTCTCTGACTTTGGTGCTACCTTTTGTCCCATTTGCTGCATTTTCATGCCATTTCCAATTTAATATGTTAGATTATTGGAAGTTGGAATATCAAATAGTGAGGACCACTATTTTCCAACATTAATAGTTCAGAAAATGCCTGCAGCTTCAGAGCCGGGGGGCGGAGAATGTGCGTGTCTTTTTTTTTTTTTTTTTTTTTTAAATAAAGTATGGCACACCAAGTTGAGAAGGAAAGATGCTAGCAAATATTCCCTTTACTATGGGTTATTATGGAGCGGTATAATTTTTCTCTTCACTACAGATCTATTTGGACTTTCTAATATCGAAGTTAAAAAGCAGTGGTAGTTAGTTGTAATCAATCCTGCAAGACTTTGTGCATCTTTGGGGATGGTCTAGAGTACTAACCTTCTAGCAAAGTATTTTTATAAGAGGAGACCGTGGTATTTTTCTCGAACAAAGACATGGTTTGGACATGTACGGTGATCTTTTCCCCAATCCCTTCTCCCCTTATCAGTCATGAAAGTTATAGGACGCAGCAGCTATTCCCAGGCAGCCAGATATACTATTGCATAACATTCCCTCCTCCCCAAATAATCAGGCTCAGCGTTTTGCCATCCACTTTCCACGATGAAGTTTTAATCACGAAAACACGTAAGTACTCGCTATTTAAAGAGAGCCTCTTTCGGGGAGGCGACGGCGCAGAGCTCCCCGATCCCTCCGGTCCTGGGAGGCGCAGAACAGTTCATGCTGACATGTCTAATTGCAGTGGAAAGCTCACCTTACCTTACGCTGCCTTACAAATAAGTAAAGGTCTGTGCAGTTCCTTTGTGATGCATGTCTCTCCGTTCACTTCTGCAAGCTTGCAGGGAAACGATCCACTCTTGCAGGAGCATCTGCTGCAAAGATACCACCGGCTGGAAACCTTTTGCTTCCCGGAGACTTGGTTCCCCCCACCACCTCTTTAGGTAGCACAGCGAGACATTTGTTCAGCTGTGGCCAAGGGAGCCTTCGCTAGAGGCAGCAGCAGCACCAGCCACGCACTCCTCAGATGTCCTCATTTACTGCAATTGTCTTCCCCGAGATCTCGGATCCGATAGCGGGGGAGGGGGGCGGCTCGGGCAGGGGAGCGGGCGGCGGGGAGAGCCTCGCAGCAGCC